TTGGCTTTTGTTTTTCTAACGAAGTTTGATATACTGCTTGTGTGATTTGTCTTTAATTGGCTGTCCAAGAAACTTTTGCTCCACGAATATGATCAATGAAACAGAACAAACTAAGAATCGTGAGTTGCAAAATTGGATTGCTTACCCTTCAGAGTGCTATTATTCCCTACTATGTTGTAGTTTCGCTTCTGGATCAAAATGCAAATAAGCGTGTCCACAAATTGGAGATTCAGATTACTGTCCCTGCACTACTTGCTTAATCTCTGTATCAAAATAAGTACGTAGGCTCTTGCATAGTTGTTTCTGGACATAGTTACAGTAGCGCTAGCAATGCCAACTACTATGTCCTGCCGGCAAATCACCTAGTTAACTAGGGGGGACCTTGACAACTCGGTCCAGTTGTCCCCAAACAAGGTACAGTTGGCCGTTAGCCCTAAGGCCCCTAACCCTGATGCAAATATCAATGCCCTTCTCCAAGAACTCATCTGTAGTGTGTACAAAATAGGCAGAATACCATTTGGAGTTGTTGCTGGGCTGCCAGTTTATGCCAATTTTCTTTCCCACTGTAGATAGCACAATTGACTCATTTTCAAACTTTGAAATAGATAATCTCTGAATGTAGCTGCACTACTGCACAGTACCACCGGCAATAAGCTAAGGGGGGATGTCACATCCACCAACAGAAACAGATGCAAATATGGTTAGGGAAGGCCAGTGCTACTCCTGTGCTGCATCCTCTCCTCTGATATTCATGTCAAATACTTAGTACTGGATGTCATGGACAGTCAATAGTGGATAGCTTATCCATTTAGTCATTATCTAAAGTGCAATCTAAACACTGAAGTAGATAATAGTGGAAAATCTGCAAGATTGCTATTGAAACACTGAATGACTGAAGTAGTGAAGTCTGAGACTAAAACACAGAGGCACTGGAACTAAATTTGTGACTGAGTCTTACTACCTATATGTCAGATTGTCACTACTACCTACCATATCTCTTAGTTATGCAATATACTGTTATGCACTTATCAACTATCCTGTGGAAGTGTGAATGTCTTCTGAAATCCCTTATGCTTATGGCTGTGAAATTTTTTTTTGGCAGAAAGCATAAGTTACATAATTTAATTCACTGATCCCATCCAACCCTGCGCTCCCCAATCTACACCCGTGATCTCGATCCGTGGCAACGACACCTCGCCCTCCCCAATCAGCAGCAGCAACAGCTCATCTTCCCCATCCCACCATATCGCTCTGGAGCAGCCACCCTCCCTTTCCACCGCTTAGATCCACATCAGTCTGCCCTCCCCAATCACACATGTGCCCTTCCCTCCACCCTCCTTGATTGGATGCTGATTTGTTCCTCCATCCGAGCACGGCCATCCGGCTCTGCAGTTGGAGAAAATTGGCTGCCCTTGTGGCTGCCTAGCTGCCATTGTCGACCTCACAGCAGACCTGAGTACTCCGCATCGGGCTACCTTGAAACTGCAGGTGAAGCTAGGGGCACCACCTCACGTCCAGGTTGGTTGAGTTATGAGCATGATGCTTCCTCACAATCTAATATTACTGAAAGTATTTCATTTCATTATTATATATACCGTACTACCAATAATATCTATTGCTACTGCTTCCATATGGATTAATTTTTAGACTATCTTTCGTACAACCAGCTCTCTGGTAGCTTTCCTTCTTGGGCTACCTAGAATAATTTGTAATTGTAAGTTGAAAGCTCAAAACTTTCAGTGGTAGAAAAAGTATATAATATTGTTTGCTTCACTCTGTTGTTTGACAAGTGGAATATTTCTTTTATAGAAAAAATGGTGTCAAACAACTGTGTTATTGCTAGAAGCAACATCATATAGTTTCGATATATATGGCCTAGTGTATATGCAGCGCATATCACTGGAAGGAGAGTTGTCAACATATATGGCCAAGTGCATATCCAGTGCGTCATATAGTATTGATATTATGATGCACTCCACCACCAAATTTATAGCCAGAGATTGCAGTAAACAGATCCGATACTAACACTATAAAGCTACAACTACACTAAAATACAAAGTAGCATATTTCCTTCTTTGCATCATTTTTCGATATCAGTTCAAGGAATTATACGGCAGTAGTAAAATACCAGGAATTTTTAGTATCAGTCCAAACTGCACTAGCATATATCAGTCCAAACTGCACTGGCATATATTTTCTTAGAAGCAAATACATTTTCACAAACAGTGCTATACTTCTATTAAGTAATCATCTCAGTTACATAATGCAGGGAAAGAATGAGTGCTTACTTAGCTGACAGCTGCAGCGTGAGATCGAAAGTAGAACAGGAAGCACGATGCAGTGGATTCTCCAAACGACCAAGCAGATGCTGCTACCGCAGCCTGATCCACTTTCCGAGCATTCAACAAGGGCCGCCGTCTCCTTCGCCCGCAGATGGCGGAGGGATGGATGCACGCACGAGCCGGGGCCGGATCCGCAGCTAGCCTAAAGCTAGACGCCGTCGTCGTCCGGATCCGCCCGCGAGTGCCTCGATCCTAGCAGCCACGAGGGTTTCCCTCGGCCAACTCGAGTGGCGGCGTAGATCGAGTGGGGAGGGACCGAGGGTAAGGCAGGTGTGGCCGGTTGGGCCTGCTCGACGGAGGAGTCCGCAGCGCATCACGCCCTAGGAGGCGTTGCCCCTGGCCTGGTGTCCTCCAGATTGGTCCTCGTTGGTGGCGACGGGCGAGGGCGGCCGCGGCGCGCGACGGCGAGGGCGAGGGCGAGGGCAGAGAACGGCGTATTGACTGAAGGTGACGTCATCAGAGTAAAATCTGAGCCGTCTAACGATCGGACAGGACCTCGAAGTAGACCGCCGATAGTTTTAAGGAGTTTTCCGCAAAAGTGCCAGGACACAGCCAGACTGCGGGTTGTTTAAGTACTCCCTTAGGGACCTTTTCGCAAGACCAGTCGTGCCAATCTACGGGCGCAGGCTGATGAACTGAAAAAAAGATGATGTCTGGACACATGTCTAACAATATTGCTTCTGAACTGAAAATAAGAGATAGCTTCTTTGAAACGAAATAAGATGATTGCTGATGAGGCATTACTTTTCTGACAGTAATTAGTTAATGTGCTATTAGGGAACCTATCTTCAAGGTCCAGTTTCTCCAATGAACATCAACGTTGAAGAAAATTTAATTTTATAAGTTTACACTATAAAAAGAATGTAATTTTTTTGGGAAAAAAAGATCTTTTGTTCTCCATTTGTCTTTATCTCTACTGTCAAATGTAGTCTCAAATGTTAGCGTGTTTCATTTTATTACCTGTCAATGGCTTTCTCTGAAAAATGCTAAAAATGAAGTAGTAGGAGCAGTTGCTGAAATGTCTACAAGTATATTTGACATGGATTTGTACATTACAATACATCCACTCTACTCTAATAGATATAACATATTATCAATCTCTTTTAATTAAATCGAATTTATGCTGATGGCATGAGCTTGAGGCTGATGAGTTGTGACCATAAACATTTTGACAATGAGGATGATGATGATGCAAGGTTGATGATGTGTGTTGCAGCAACACTAATCTAGCTTTCAAGGCTTATGTGTTTTGCTGCAACACTAATTTAGCTATGTACTGTAATTTTCAACGATCATTTGTATTGATCCAAGTGTACTACTTTGCACTTCAATTCCAAAATGGAATCGCGTTTCTGTATTGAAATAGGAGTAATTTTTTTGGGGGGAGGATTTGGATGGGCAAAAGTGACCGAAAGTACCATTAGCTGCCAGGTTCATCCATTCCTGTGGCCCAATTACTACGGCCCAATAGTTGCAGCCTACGATAAGTCATAAGTGGGCCGTTTTCTTTGCTCTAGGACCAGAAACGTGTTTTGCTCCAATGATTGTAGCTCAGCTCTGTAGTTGGGGGATTTCGAAACACCAACTCCAATTTTGTATGAACATGTTAAAAATAGTGCTTTAAAATATTTTAACAGTACTCAAAATGTTGATTTTTCTAAAACAAAAAAAATCAAAATACGTCTGAGCTGCAACAGCCTGGAATCAGCTAAGACGTATGTGGATATCACTTCTTCGGTTTTTCCTCTCCCTCTTTCCCTTGTACAATCCTAGCTCTTCCTCCTTTACTTTACCGTCTTTTCTCCCTCAAATTCTCTAATTAACTTAGCAGATTTGTCAGGATTTCTTCCCAAGATCCTGTTAATCAAGGTAGCAGCAACAGTTGTAACAGATGAACTCCAATGTACTTTTGTTTGGATGGATATTGGATATGAGTAGAGTATCTGAACTTATATGGACCATGGAGAAGAACCGTGCAGACATCAACAGGTATGATGCCTTTGGAACCAATTGTGATTGAATGAGCAGATTATAGCACTAATTTTGGGACTATCATGTGATGCAGTCTATGGATATATTGTCTTCGGGAACATGTGGTTTGTTTGAATATACACTTAGTAACCATGCACAGGGCATGCAGAGAGATTATAGTAAGGTAGAATAAGAACTTGTTTGGGACTCAAGATTTCCAGAAAACTTGCAGAAATTAATTTAATTATGACTTTTGCTATTTATCTGTTGACGGATTTTTTTTTACTAAATATGTCAGATTTCTATACGTTTGATAGTGCTTTAGGATTTGTGCTACAATTGTCACTTTAACGGGTTTCTAACTAAAATCGAATAGATTTGACCACATAAAATCTATTGACAGATAACCAGGCACTCTCTTTAATTTTATAGAAAAATAGGATTACAAAAAAAATACCATATTCCAGATAACTTTATTTCTTTCTGTCCTCTTCCCTATTTTCATGAGTCCTAGGAGCCTTATCGCCTATTATTCTGTTATTTACTTTGATCCAGATTATACTATTCCAGAAGACCGGTCAAGTTGGCCTATCATTTTGTATTGTTTTAGTTCCCCGCGGCGAGTTTGGTACCTTTCCTAGTATTGTTTTGGGAGATTTGAGGCTCCCCCATTCGCTCGGTCCAACCATGGCATCCGCCGCCGCCGCCGCTGCGACGGCCGCGGAGCAGCTGGTTCTACCGGCGCTCCTCCTCATCCGCCGCGTGGACGGACCCTTCGCCGCCGCACTACGGCAGCGCTTCCGCGTCCTTGACTTCTTCGCATCGGGCTCGCCGCCGCCGCGGCCGTCCGGGAAGGCGGGATTGCGGGAACCCCCTCGCGCCGCGGGAGTCATGGGGGGGCCAGCCCGCGTGGACGCTGACTTCCTCGACGCCCTGCCCTCCCTTCGCTGCGTCGTCAGCACGGCGGCGGGCATCGACCACATCGACCTCCACGAGTGCGCGCGCCGCGGCGTGGCCGTCGCCAACGCCGGCAGGGCCTACTCCGCGAACATCGCCGACCACGTTGTCTGCATGCTCATCGACGTGCTGCGGCGCTGCTCATCGACGTGCTGCGGCGCGTCATGGTGTCGGAGCGGTTCGTGCGTCGAGGATTCTGGGCTCTGCAGGGGGACTACTACCTCGGCTCCAAGGTCCGCTTCTTCTTCGTCTCCGATCCATCCTATGCATGATTTTCTTTTTCTCCAAGCCGAACACCAAATTTTTCTGGGCTTGATGATGTTTTCAGCTCGGTGACAAGCGTGTTGGCATCATCGGTTTGGGGAACATTGGTTCTCTGATCGCAAAGAGGCTTGAAGCTTTCAGCTGCGTCATCTACTACCACTCCAGAAAACCCAAGGGTCATTCAGTCTCTTACAAGTACTTCCCAAATGTTCACGATCTTGCTTATGAATCAGACGTGCTCGTCGTCGCCTGCGCACTGAACAAGGAGACGAGGCACATCGTGAACAGGGACGTTCTGGAGGCCCTAGGGTATAGTTTTCTAGATGGGCCGGGCACGATAGGCCAGCCAAGGCACGGCCCGAGAAAGCACGGCCCAAGCACGGCCCGGCCCGGCAGCCTGCGTGCCCGTGCCTAGCACGGCCCGCCCCCGTGCCCGTGCCTGGGCTGCCAATTCGGCCCATGGGCCAACACGAGCACGGGCACGGCACGGTAAAGAGGCCTGGCCCGCTAACGGCCCGCTATCCAGTGAACTCTCAGCCGTCCGATCCCCCCCTGATGGATTATGGCTGTTGGATCCAGGGCAACGGCGCCGTCGCGTATATAAGCCGGCCGGCCTCCCCCGCTCGGCCGCTCACAAACCCTAAATCATTTAACGCTCTCCGCCTCTCCCTCCGTCCCTCCCTCTCTCTCGCTCTCGCAGTCTCGCCTCTCCGACGACGACGGTGGCGAAGGGCAACGACCCCTCCCAAGGGCGGCTGACATTCGCCGTCGTCCTCGCGGACCCCTCCTCCTCTCGTCCTCCCGGCTGCAGCTCTGGAGCTCCGACGACGTGTAACATCCTCTCGCTTCTTCTTCTTTCTCTCATCACATCGACTCACTCCCTCTTCGCAGTCAGCAGATCCACGGATCCAGCTGCTGCCGCTAGGAGTTCATTGCAAGGCCGTCTTGGCCATGCGGCGACATTTAGGTAAGAAACACTAACCCTAGCTCCGAAGCCTAACCCTAACCCTAGCTCAGATCTGCTCCGTTCTTGATTTCTTTTCTTGAATCTTGAGTTCTTGGTGATGTTCTTCCTTTCTTCTTTTGGCGTGACGTTTGAGGCCAGGCAAGTGAGGATGCCGTCCCCGGCCCCCCTCTGTCTCCGAGGACACGGTGGAGGCTAGTGCCACCGCCATGGTGATGAGATGGAGAGGGTCCGCGACCCCTGGTGATGATGACGACGACGACGACATGGGCGACGAAGAGGTAGAAGAGCTCTTGGCCGTGGAGTCAGACTGGTGGAGTCTGGCGCGAGAGGACCCCATCGACCTTGATGGTGACGAAGGTGGTGGTGGAGAAAAGACGGTGAGAACGCACGACGACGACCGGGACCAGGTATCACGCCCCTCTACCTCTGATGTGTGGCAAGATTTCCAGAAGCTCTTCAAAATGGGTCCCAAAGGTAAGAAGATCAGGTATGGCGCTGTCTGCATCCATTGCAAAAAATAGTACTCTGGTAGATCTGCGGCAGTGGCCACCTCCGGTAAATCCTGAGGGATAAATGTGCTAAGAGGCGAGAGAAAACTAGGGGTTTAGTCGGTCTCAGATTTCTTTTTAATCCTCGATGGTTTTATGCGTAATTGGGATTCTTGTCCTATGCGTGTTTCGTCTTTGAATCGTGTAGATTGCTTGCTAGGGTAGATGTTCCTATCGACTTTGGTGAATCTCTTTGCATTTGAGGAATACATTAATAATGCTCATAATCCTAAGTTTGAGCTATCTCTACACAAACCACAACTAGAGACTTAGCCAAAATGTTTTTCGATAGAAAGAGTAAGCTTGTTGAGGTACTTGCTTCGATTCTCATTAATTATGTGTGCCTTACCTCGATATTTGGTCCGCAAAGTCAAAGAGGATTATCTTAGTGTTGTTGCTCATTACATAAACCACGATTGGCAACTCTGTAAGAGGGTTCTTGGTCTTGTGCTTATTGATTGTTCCCATAATGGGATGTAACATCTTGATAGAGTTGCATCTGTTCTAAGTGAATATGGTGTGCTTGAAAAGTATTTCTTTGTTACTTTGGACAATGCTTCATCTAATGTTTTACGCCATGCATATGCTAAGACCTATTTTATCTAAATATCTTGATCTTGAGGTTCCTGTAGAGGATCCAAGACATCCTGAAACTACTGTTACTACTATGTTCTTGCATCAGCGTTGTGCATGCCATATAATCAACTTGATTGTTAAGGAGGCACTTGATTATCTTAAACCTTTGATTGAAGTTTTTAGAACTGCAATATCATTTTTAAACTCATCTAACCAGAGAATTGCAGCATACAAAAACTATTGCATTGCTTCTAGTTATAGGCCTAGAAAGTTTCAGTTGGACATGGATGTAAGGTGGAACTCTACATATCTCATGCTTAAGACTTTGTTTCCTCACAAAGATCCTTTCACCACTTTCATACATGCTAACTATCCTAGAGGTGAGGGAGGTGAGTTGCTTCTAACTGAAGAATATTGGGTTGTTGCTGAAAAAGTCTTTAAGTTTCTTGAACTGTTCTATGATGCTACTGTTGCCTTGTCTGGTGTTTACTATCCTACATCCTCACTTATGCTTCATTATCTGGTTAAGATTGCTATACACCTGAACAAGTATGCTAATGACATTCACCTGAGGAATGTGGTTCAATCTATGGTAGACAAATATAATAAGTATTGGAGGGACATACTTTTGCTCTATTCTTTTGCATTTATCTTGAACCCTAGAGCTAAAATGAAGGGTTTTTCAAAAGTGCTAAAAAAGTTGATGAACCTTACCAGTACCGACTACAATGCTTACCAGGTTGGCACTAGAGCTAGGCTTACTGATGTTTACAATAAGTATGAGGAGAAATATGGAGCTGTTAGGTTGAGGAGGACTGTCCCTCAAAACCTAACTGGTAAGAAAAGGTCTGCTTGGGATAAAATATATGATGATGATTCTAGTTCTTCTGGTGGGGGTACTTCACTGCTGCATTCTACTCTTAATCTGTCTAGAGATACATCTACTACTGCTTTGCTGCATGCTGCTACTTCTACAGCTTCTAATGCTTCTGAACTTGTCTCATACTTAGACTGTGATACTGTTAGCCAGTTGGATGATTCATTTGACATCTTGAGATGGTGGCATGAGCACAAACTGACATATCCAGTGCTGTCCATTATGGCAAAGGATGTTTTAACTATTCCTGTCTCTACCATATCTTTAGAATCTACCTTTAGTATGACTGGCAGGATCATCGAGGAGCGGCGGAGGAGGCTGAAGCCGGAGACGGTGGAGTGGCTCACCTGCATCAAGGACTGGGAGTTGGCGGAGGCAAGACTGCAGCATAATGTGGAGGACAAGGAGCTTAAAAAAGCATTTGAAGACCTCTATCTTGATTAGTGCTCCCGTCGCCAAGGTAAATCATACCCCTAAGTCCCTAACTTCTTCTTCTTCTTTTGCTAACTGATTAGTAATCTTAATGCTAACTCTGTTCTTCTTTTGCAACTGGCCAGCTGGGAGCTTGAAGCTTGAAGCTTTGAAGCATTAGTCTTCATCTTTATTACTCTAGTCTTTATATTTAGATGGAACTTGGGTCTGTAATATGAGAACTTGGACAATGATGTAAGAACATTGAACATTTGAACTTTGGAGCTAGGTTGTACTCTTTTCCTGACTAGGGTTTCTCACAAGGGTGAGTTTTACCTAGCAGGTTTTTAGTGAGGCAGCCATTGCACATGCTCCCATATTCCTATTTTCTTAACTCTTGTGTGTTTGCTCTGTTTTTGTTTCTCCGGTTCTTTTTTTGATAATTTTGATTCCAAATTATGCTTGTTACATCAATCTTGAACTGATGAAGTGCTACTTAAAATGTGTTTAGTGCCTGGGCCGGCACGGGCACTGGCGTGCCACCGTGCCTGCTAGCACGGCACGGCATGGCTTGCACTTCATAGTGTCGTGCCTGGGCTGCCACTTCGGCACGGTGGCACTATCAGGCACGGCACGGTGGGCCGCCGTGCCGCATAGTGCCGTGCCTCGCCGTGTCGTGCCTGGCCGTGCCAGTGCCCGTGCCGTGCCGGGCGGCCCATTTGGAAAACTATACCCTAGGGAAGGACGGGGTCGTCAACTCGTCACAAACATCGGCCGAGGCGCAAACGTCGACGAGGCCGAGATGGTGAGGGCGCTCAAGGAAGGCAGGATCGCAGGCGCTGGTCTGGACGTCTTTGAGGACGGGACGAACCCAACAATGTGCCGCCGGAGCTCTTGAACTGGCCATGGACAATGTCGTGCTGACGCCTCATGTTGCAGCTTGGACGTCGGAGTCCAGGTCAGATCTGCGTGACCATACCATTGCCAACCTTGAAGCTTTCTTTGCAGGTAAGCAGCTACTTACACCGGTGCTTCCCTAGAATTCTAGAAAATCAAATCAGATGTCATGAGGGTGTCATTAATAAAACTAATTAATTAAAAGAAGGTTGGAAAACATTTCTTATATAGAACAGTGTCATTTTCAATGATCATTTGTATTGATAAAAGTGTACTACTTTGCACTTCCAAAATGGACTCGCGTTTCTTGTATTGAAAAAATAGGAGTTATCGTTTTTTTTTGGCTTTAAGATGGGCAAAAGTGACCGATACCATCATTGGCCACATACGCTAGGTTCATCCATTCCTGTGGCCCAGATCCTACGGCCCACTAGTTGCAGCCTACGATAAGTCATAAGTGGCCCACCGGCCGTTTTCTTTGCTTCAGGCCCAGAAACGTGTTTTGCTTCGATGATTGTAGCTCAGCTTTGCAAGTTGGGGAATTTCGAAGCACCAACTCGAATTTTGTATGAATATATGTTCAAAATAGTGCTTTAAAATATTTTAACAGTACTAAAATTTTTTATTTTTCTAAAACAAAAAAAACAAAATATACACATGTTAGTTTTTTTTAAAATTTTAAATTAAATAATTGTAAACAAGACCATGGTTCAAATGGATTCGGATTCATATAATCAAAACTATAATATATGACGAACACATGCTCAAAATTCGATGTTAAAGAGTGCATCAGGTCAAACCGCACCTCTAATCTAAAAGGATAAAAAGAAGAGAGTAATTTCGAACAGGCATGACCCATGAGTATTATTTGGGACCCGACGGCCCCAACTCCAGTCCCTGCGTTAAAAATATCAAAATATTGCTGGTTTTAGCAATCGTCTGACTGCAAAGAGTTGTAACTTGTACACTTTTTTATTTGATTTGATTCCCTGGAGCGAAGCCTGGAATATGACCGGAGCAACGTCGTCAGCATGTATGCAGAATAGCGTAGCAATATTTGTATGTATAGAATAAAGACAAATTGGCTGTTAAATTCATGAAAGTACTAGAACCTAAGAGCATCTCCAAGAGCCTTTGCTTCAAGCCTTCAACCCACAGCTAGCAGCCTATCATACTGACCAGAAATGCTCCTCTTTAGTTGACTGATTGGTTGCTTTAACCATCAGTAGAATTTTATTTGGTTTAGGCCCAATTAAAAATGTGTTTTGCTTCAATGGTGAACACTTGTGCACTTGAGGAATTTCGAAATACGAACTCAATTTTGGTATGAATCTGTTAAAATGGTGCGTCTAAGAAAACAAAAAAAAAATCAAAATATATGCATATTGGTTTTTTTATAATAACTGCAACAAGACCATGGTTCTAACAGTTTCATATTCATATCATGAGAAAACTATAACGTACCAGAAGTTAATGGTTAAAATTCACCGTTAAAGAGTGCATCAGGTCAAACCACACACAAAAAGTACCCTATTATTTTAAGTTATAAGTTGTTCAGATTTTTTCTAAATACATATCTTTTACGCAGTAGAAAAAAATTACGTAGAAAAAGACAGAATGATTTGTATAGAACAGAGGGGAGTCAGAAAGAAGGAGTCATCATTTTTAACAGCCATGAGCAATAATGCCATAGCAGTGACCAATAACTGGGCCTGTTCCGCCCCTATCCCCGCCTGGGGGAAGATGGTGGTTTGCACCTGTGCTGTGCTGTGCGGCCCTATTGATTCCCTGGAATATTTACCGCAGCAACGTCAGCATGCATGTACGCAAAAATAGCAGTAGCAATTTGCATATATATATATATATATATATATATGATACATATTAGCAGACGACACAATGTTACGGGGATGGATGATTTGTGAGTGTACTGCGCCCGGCACTTTTGCAAACAGAATCACGCACGCGGAGGCCCATCCGTCGATTCGAATCGAATATATGTTCTATATATATATATTCATATATGATACATATTAGCAGACGACACAATGTTACGGGGATGGATGCTGTGACGTACTGCGCCCGGCCGGGGCAAACAGAATCACGCACGCAGGCCCATCGGTCGATTCGAATCGAATTGGACAAAAGCAAACAAAAGAACAAACTGGTACCGGTACTGGTACGTACGTACGCTCCTTGGTTCTCGGTGGATGCACAACAATTCGTACGTACCACGGTAATAACAAACGAGTGCCGCATCATGCTCATGCTCTGGGAAAATGACATTCCATCAAGAGTACGGATGATGCGGCTTCAACAGGGGTTAAACAAACGCATTTGCTTCGCACGTCACATCCTGGGGAAACGACGATGAAAACTAGATTTTACTTCTGTGCTACTGCAAACCATCATCACATCAGAGACCTGACCTCTTGCTAGCTCTGGTGAAGCTATTTTTTTTACTTGAAAAGTAGCTCTACTGATGCAGCTGAAGTTATTTTGGTGAATCGCTCGGTAAAACAACTTTTCTATGTATGAAAAATGATGAAATGACTCTATTGTCCTTCTCTTTTTTTTTACTATCTCCTTTCTATCTCTATTTCACCTTCCATCTTTATCTGGTCGTCTTATCCTCCATCTCATCCGCACCGTCCGCGCGGCCCTAGCGAGTCTATACTCACCCTCGCCCCCGCCTAGGCCACCGCCTTCCACGACGCACAGGCCATGCTGCCCAATGCCGTTGCCGTGCTGCTGTCCCGCGAGGGGGCTGCTCCTGCCCGGCGCGCCAGCGACTCTGCTCCCCTCGGATGTCATCGAGGGGCTCGGGACCGCGCGCCGCTCTCACCCCGAACATGTGTCATAAAAAACCAGAGTGTTTTTTCCTAACAAATAAACATGTCTTGAGTTTCTTCTCTTGCACATATATACTAGTACATTGTCAAGGTGACGGTACATATTCTTCTCTCGTGGGCCCAACTAATCCTTGCCCCATTGACACGGAGTGGAGTATGTACATTTCAAAAACCAGCCAGGTGCCATGATCATCTTGCAGCAGTGATTGGTGAATGAGAATCAAAACCAGAAGATGCAGAGACATGACCACAGTTGCTCTCTCTGCACTGCACATATATCGTCCGTACTGTACCACGAGTAGCTACCTGCTACTGCTACCACATGTTTGCTATGTCCATTAATATATACGATACATGCATGGCCAACAAAGACCCTGTTCGGCTGGCTGGAAAAATAGCTGATGCTAATGCTGATTTGTTATGTGATTTCGCTGAAACAGTACGGCTGATAAGTTCAAACGAACATGTAGAAAAGCTCCAAACTCGAAACGGAACGACGAGACAAAATTCCGAGCCTCCATCCGAGGGATGTACGTACAGGTACACTAGTAGGAGTACAGTACAGGTGAACAGGAGGGGATACGCCGGCAAACCCCATCCTGCCAGTGCCAGGGCGGCACACATCTCGAGGCATCGCCACGTTCCCATCACGACCGTTGAACAGAGAACCTGCGAGGTTCTCTGGCACCGATCTGGCCCCACCCGCAGAGAAACAGTGCAGAGCAGGCGCAGGCGCAGAGCGGCCGTGGCAGGGCATGGTCGTGAGCGCCCCTGGCGGTGGCGGCACCGCACCCGCACCCGACCGGGACCGGCACCCGCCGCTGTTTCCGTCGAGATCCGATGGCCGAGTGACGTCACGTCCGCCCCCCTCTATCTCCGATCCCCCAACGGCTACCTCGCCGACGCACGTGACGACGACGAGTGCGACAGGGCGGTGCAGGAGAGAGAAACAGATTCCGCCACGCACTCCGCGAGGAGCGCGTCCAGGACCCGGTCCGCCACCTCCTCCGCCACGTCGCCCGCCTCCTCCTCCACCGCGGGGTGCCGCGCCAGACGCCGCACGCTCGCGCGCTCCAGGTCCGCGCCCACCAGCGCGTCGATGTCGCCCACCACACGGCAGTCCGCCGCCGGGAAGCTCCGGACCTTTCTCCACACCTTCCCCAGCAGCGGTAGCCCCGTCGTCGTCGGCGATGAAGCGTCCAAGCCCAGCAGCAGGTCCGCCAGCTACTCTTGCGCCAGGTGGAACAACAGCTTCCGGTTCCACCGGTGCCGGAGAGGGCCTAGACGTGCTTCGTCCGCGGGGAGCTCCAGCTCCAGGAGGTGGAACACGATCGGGTCCACCGGCGACGCCACGGAGTGGCCCCGCCCCGGCCGCCGAGGCGGCGTCGACGACCGCATGAACCCGCCGCGCTCCAGCACCGTCCGCAGGTAGCTGTACTCGGGGTCCTCCTCCAGCGGCGGCGACGAGGAAACGCGGGCGCGGGCCGAGCAGCAGTCCGTCGGCAATGACGACGACGACGTCGTCGGCGCGGACGCCGGGCACGCCGCGGGCTTCTTGATCCGCGTGGCGAAGCGCTCGCACCCGTCCGGTTTCCTCGCTCGGGTGGGCGTCGGGTCGAGTGGCGGCGGTGGCGGCGGCGGCCGCGACGGCTTCGCCCGATGCGGTGGCGGAGGGGACGATGGCTGCTGCTGCTGCCTCGGCGCCAGTGCCACCCTGGGGCTGTGATGCTCGGCGCTTGGCTTTGGGGCCACCGTCGTCGGCTTGGCAGTTTGTTGAAACACGACAGACAGCTTCTGGACCTCCATGGCAGGAGCGGGAGCTGGAGCTGCAGGATTACTCATCATCACGTTCTCCTTGTTGTTAAAGCAGCTCGTCCTCTTCTCAGCTGCCGGCGACGCGGATGTGCTGTTGTTGCCAGACTTGCGGCTGGCGACCGTCTCCTTGGCCTGGCGGAGGATCTCGCGCGCGTGCTCCTTGGCCGCCTTCTCGTCCCGGCGTCGGCGGCTGCAGGCAGCATCCTTCTTCTTCTTCTTCTTGGCTGAAGAAGACAAGGAGGTGGGCGAGCTGGGCATGGACATGTAGTGCGCGGCGCGGTCGAGGACGTTCTCCTTGAGCGCCTGCAGCGACAGCCTGGGCCCGTCCCACGACGCCCGCGCCGACGTGGACGCGCGCGGCGTGTCCGGCTCCGGCAGCGAGCGGGCCTCGGCGCCGACGACGTTGCAGCTGAGGCTGCGCAGCGGCTCCCGCCGGTTCATGGACTCCGGGATCACGCGCTTCTTCTTCTCCGCCTTGGACGCAGGCGGGGAGCCGCAGCTGCTGTTCTCCTTGCCCGTCGAGGCAGTTGATCTTCTGCCAGTGCGACCGGGCTGCTTCTTGTGCTGCGCCGGCGGTGGAGACGGCTGCTGTTCCGGCAGGCCGTCGATGCCCATGAGGCGCGCGACGAGGCTGGGCGTCCTGGGCGTCTCGGCCTCGGACGACGGCGCGGTGGGCTTGGTGGAGCGGCGCATGCTGGTCGTCGTGCTGGCGAGGGCGTCGAACACCGGCTCGATCTGGATGTCGTTGGGGTTGTCGGCGTCGAGGTCGAGGCTGTTCCTGGGCGCCTCGAATCCGCTCTTGCTGCTGCTGCTGCTGTCGCCCCGGTGGTTACTGGTGGCGTTTCCGCCGAGGCCGTGGCAGCCGTGCGGCGTGACGATGGCGTTGGAGGAGGAAGTGGGCGGGCGGCCGACGCAGCCGGCGCCCGGCGCGAAGATGAGGTAGTGCACCATGGACATGCACCCGACGGGTGGCTCTCCTGTCGCCGTCGCAGGTTCCGGCCTCGGCGTGGCAGGGGCCGAGGAGGAACGGCTCCGCGAGGAGTACCAGAATGACGACGACGACGACGGCTTGGTCCTCCGCCCCATGGTAGACGTTGCAGCAGCTAGCTAGCTAGCTAGCTACCTTAAAAGCTTGTGAATGAAGAAGGTGTGCGCTCCGAGCTACCGACGTTGCTTCTGCGTAGCTAGGCTTTTCAAGATGATCAAGCTACTGCGATGCAACAAGGAAGCTAGATAGATGTGTTGTATGGGAGCGACGAGAGTCTGAAGCTGGAGATCTGGCTGCAAGGGCGGGAATAGGAGAGTTTGAAGGAAGCTGGAGGATACTAGTAGTACGGCTGGTGTTTGGTGAGGAAGTAGTTAAGCTTGGGGAGATGAACAGATAGATGATGTCCCCGGATGGATGGAATATGAAATGGCCAAAAAATTGGAGTCCACCAGTCGGTCAGGTGATGAGCTCAGCAATGCGTTGGGCTGTGTCATGCATGTGAAGGTATCGAGAGTGGATCGGAGAATTGAAGGAATAACACTGCAGTTTCTTAGCAGCACAACAGTGGAAAGCTGTTATCATATACTCGTACTATGCTGCCTGTGTGTGTGTCCATCAACTTCAATTTCAGAGCCCGGAGTGGCTGCCTGTCTTGGCCTTGGACTCACACAGGACCGGACCCCATGCATGCATGCAGCTGGGTCCTCTAGCCCTGTGAGGGAGTAGTACGGATTACTATACTCTTAGTCTCTTAGATATATATATATATATATAAATTTCCCTCCGAATTTGAAAATGGGATGGAGATCATGGCTGGGGATCATTCATGCGACCCACACCACGTGCTATGCTCTATGCTACCCCTCCTCCTCTCTTGCTTAGTTGCTGTTGCAATTTGAAAGGAGAGGAAATGAAAAGCAGTCAGCTCAGCATCACATGGCCCATGCAGGCAGTAAGAAAGGGAGGTATCTGGACTGCACGCTCTTTGTTATACGTATACTGCTACTTTGACCTCCCGTAAGAATTAGTCCCAAAAAGGTTAGGGTAGGTTACCTTTCACCCGGCCGTCCTTTGAACACCCCCATAAGGTTAGCTTTGGGAAGCGGAAAGGCATGCAGATGCAGCCCATGCGTCATCCAAGAGAAGAGAGAGAAGAGAGGGAGATGGATGGGGATGAGGATGAGGATGGCGACGACATGACGGACGGCCGAGGAGGATGATTCCAAAGACAAAAACAAACTGGCTCCCACCTCCATGGCTCCATGCATATGCATTCCTCCAATTCTCCCCCCTCCAATGCTGCCTTACTACTGTAGTCTTAAATCTCTTAATCCGATCCCCAGGCAGTCACGGGCATGCTAATCACTCACTCTAGTGGCATCATGAAGTAATGAATCCATGGCCATGGGATTGCATTAGCGGATAACGAATGGGAGTTTTGCACTGAAATTGAGGCACCCACCGTAACTACTGCCATGACTGGCTGACTGGCTGTGAAAACCCAAGAGAAGGAATCTCTCTCTGTCTGACACGACAATTAAGCAGGCGGATGATCCAACAACACCCACTGGCAGCTCCACCACTCCATCATCCGTCGTCTCCCTATCCTCTTTCTCTATTTTTAGCTTCAGTTCCGATGTGAATGTGATCCTCCTCTTTTTCAGTGACGAAAACAAACCTCTCTTCTTAACAACTGCTGGATCCATCACAGTAGTAGAGATTTTTACTGCTCCATTTCTTGGATTCTGGAAACATCATCATCTGCCATGTTTGCTGGGCTGATAAGCCATGTCTGAAAGTACCGTTGGCTGATTTATCGTGAAAGAAAAATAATATTCGTTAACTGAAAAAATACGACTTATAAGCCAAGTGAGCAGGACGATCATTCATTCACTACTAGTATTAAAGCAGGTAGCGACTCCTACCTCAGCTCGCTAGCCCATCTGTACCGTGTCGTCTGCCGGCAACTTGATCACTACTAGTATTAGTAATTCAGAGCAGGAACAACAGTGTCTACCTCCTAGTACAAGTAATTAAACTAATCAAATCTGCTCTAGATCTCGTCGTCTCACATAGAAGCAGCTAGGCAGCTGCTGCCGCCGTATTTGCGTCGTCTGGGTTTCAAACTAGCTAGCACGCTGATTCAAAAATTGAAATGGACGGACAGATCCACATCGCCTGTGCCACTACGTGCTGTACTGGACGAATGATATATCCGATCGAGCCGGCCTCTAGCAATCAAGTTACTCCGTAGTATGCATCCAGGATCCAATCACAATTCAGGATCCAAATACTGCATATATGAGCGGAGGACGACGACAGTGGATCATTTATAATCAACTTATTAATGGCCGCACCTACGCTTCGGCTGCAAAGGTGGTACTCCGAGCCACTCAAATGCAAATCAAGGGCCCTAGCTGACCCTGAGTCGTAGTGAGTACTCTCGATGAGTACATGGATGGCTACAGCTCCTTTGCTAGTAGTAGAACACAACACGTGCGCTTGGTACACGCCGCGTGGCAGTGGAAATCATTCTCACTGTGTATTTCAGAGTGGAGGGATAGGATGGCGGCGTTTAATTTTCCAACCAAAATCACCCACGACGTACATAATCTAAAAAAAACCCTCTTTGAGATTATAATGGATTTTTCGTTTATTTGGTGGGTCAAAATAAATTGAAGGAGTTATCCTACCAAAAGATAAATTAGCTCCATAGAATTGCAATGGAAGTACAAATGTTACAGAGGCTACTACAAACTAATTTTAGGATACAGCCCACCTCATCTTTAGCGGTAGAGCTAGCGCCCCGCGTCCTGACGTTCCGCGCCTACTCTGTGTCACGCCCCCCGCTCGCTCGAATTCGCACGCTCCGTTTCCCCTGCGCACGCGGGACCGCCCGTGCCGGCTCCGTTTCGCGCGTGCATGCGGGAATCCGCCCCCCCCACCCCGCCTGTGGATGCACGCCATGTGACTCCAGCCATCCCATCCATGAGTATGCGCTTGAAACATGAAACACTTGCAACATGAAACACTTGATGCAACATACGTCTGAAATAGCTAAAACATTTGGAACATACACTTGCCATATATGTGTGAAACATATGAACATCCAGAATAAAACACTTGCAACATGAGTCTGAAACAGATGAAACATTTTCAACAGACGCTTTGCAACATATGTATATAGATGTTGCAACATATGCAACATCCGGATCTACTTTTGCAACATTCATATAAAACACTTGCAACATACCTCTGACACATATGAAACACTTGAAACATATGTTTGCAACATGCGCTTTCAGCGCAACATCTCCTTGATGAGGTCACGCGTCGCAGCAGCCACGGCCTTCCTATAGGGGAATTGCGGTAGCGCCAGCAAGCTCGGGTCAGTGGTGGCGCGGTTTCCTGCCGTGGTGTCTTCGGCTGACCACGGGAAACAATGTCCCGGCCAACAGAGACCTTCTCTTGGTGGCGTCGGGGTGGTGGTGGCGCGGTGCACGCCGTGGCCGCGACAGGCGAGACGGAGTGGGGCGCGGCGGTGGATGGGAGCGGGATGCGGCGGCGGACGCGGCGTGACATAGGATGGGGGCGCAGCGGGGGCTAGCAGCGGCTGCTAGGCAGAGTGGGACATGCGGACGACGTGGTGAAGCCGCGACGGGCGAGGCGAGGGGAATTTTCTGTCGCAGGGTGCTATATATTATTGTGGGTGCAGTAGAGAGTAGAGAGATGGAGAGAGCGTAGAGGGGGCAGGCCGGTTGCTTGTTGCGTCGAACCCGATGCGTAGGCTCGGGAACGCGGCGTCCGGACGGACGGACGCCCTGCATAGAGCATTATCACATTTTTAGAGGCAGCCTGCCTATGTAAATAGCCATGGCAATTTTAAAGGTGGATGTCTAAATGAGCTGCCTCTGAAAATAAGGGTCTGGCTATCTGGACCATGTTTACAAACCCTAATAATAACGAAAGCATCTCTAGGGCTGTCATGTGTCACCCCACCTAGAGCTGGCTCTATATTTTTAAGGGCCCTTGGGCAAGCAAGAAGATAAGGTCCGTTGAACTAATTTTTAATATAAAAATTAAAGTATATAGTAGGAATGATAAAAATTACTTTGCGGTATATGCTTAGCTCATAAAACATAACAATAGTGTAAAAAAGCCTAAAAAAGCAGTAACCATTATGATTACCTTAAATAAAAATATAATGCTTCAGTGTCTAAAAGACTGTCTTCGGGCATTTCTTGATGCAAAATCTTCAAGAACATTCAGATTAATGTCGTCCAAAACATCCTTCTCAATGCTGCACATAGCCAAGCCATTCAATTTTTCTTGTAACATAGTTGACCTCAAACAAATTTTCAACAATTTCAATTTGGAGAAACTTCTTTCGACTGACTGTCATTGGAATAGTTAAGAGAATCCGATATGCAATGGAGACATTCGGATAGCAATCTGCAGCTTTAACAAACTAAGAATCTCAAGTGCTGACTCTGAGGTTATTGGTGTGATGTCCATCGATGCTCACTGAGGTTGTGCGTCGGTCATGAGTTCTCTGATGTAATGCGGCAGTCCTCTTCTTAATGAAGGAGTATGTGCATACAGTGTCTTGCACGTTATTGAGACAATCATTCATCACCACCAAATTAGATCAAAGCACATTTGAACTTGGTCTCACATTTATAGCTTGCAAATGTATATTTTAGGTTGGCCATATGTATATATAGAATCACTGGATTGGTCGAACTGATGTTTCCATGCACTTCAGATTTTTATTATGTTTTGAAGGTTATATAAATCACACTCTGTTTCAGCTTCACCCACACTGTATAAATTGTGATCCTGTACGTATGCAGATATATGCAGAGCTGGTTGTAAAGTGAATTCGGCTCCACACTCTGCACGTACTCTGGCTGGCTGCAGCGGGCCACGCAAATAAGGAATGATCCGCGCGGCTCGAGGCGCGCAGCTACCAGGGGATCGGTGAAAATTTAAGGAAGATCGGCATGGACGACCGGCCAGCCGCTAGCTGCTGCACCTGTCTCGCTGCCAATTCTTTCAGTGCAGCTGCAGCTGCAGCGCGAAGAAGAGCAGCGCTGCC